TGTCTAGAAGTTTTGGCTTGTTCGCGGCCATCTCTCACCACAACATCACCAATTATCCCTACCTCTTGGTTTTTTCGATTCCTTAGGACCCCAAAAAGACATCAGTCTACACCTCCCTATGTGTGGCTGGCTCAAACCAACAGTGAAAGACTCCTTGAATTTTATTCCATGTTTCGTTTGACCGCTCCTAGCTATTGTTCAACTTAATCTTATAATAAAGGTTTTGTATTTCCCAATGAATGAAAAGCAAAACAATATTGTTATGGTTTTTACTGACGTTTCGCTATTTAATGCTGCTGCTAATAGCTTTATCAAAGTAGTATTAGACCGGAATTTACAAAATCTTAGCTTATATTTAACAAACAGTTAAGGAGTGAGAAAATAGACTACTTAGGTCAAGTTAAAAGGACATACTGAAAGTCGAAATAACAGTGAAGATCACTAAACCAAATAACACAGGTAATAAGTACGTCTGTTATGATATCAAAATAAAGTTTACTAACTTGATCATCGTTCGTCAGTCTGGGATCACTTTTGCGTTGTCAAGTTGGTTAATTGGTAAAGATAACAAAACCATCATGTGTAGATTGTTGGATTTGATCAGTGTGTAAAACGATAAAAGTAGTGTGTGTTTACATAGTGAACTTGTTTATCACATTCGTGTTGATTTTGTCACTTCATGAGGGAGGGGAAGGCGTGTTGTAACCAGTTCAGATTCTGTTTTAGTCCATCATTACTATTCAGCTCAGACAATTTGGATTCCACTTGATGTGAAGTGCTTCTGATGGTGTTAGACGTTTTTTTGCGATTTCTGAAATGCTTTCCCGGATGATGATTTCAAAATTGATTTTGACAATATTGAAATAATCCAGAAAAAGCATTTCAGAAATCACAAAGAACGTCTCATTTTATTAGAAGCACTTCATATCAAGTGAAATCCGAATTGTCTGAACAGGAATGATGGACTAAAACAGAATCTGAACTGGTTACAACACGCCTTCCCCTCCCTCATGAAGTGACAAAATCAACACGAATGTGATAATCAATGTCACCATGTAAACACACACTACTTTTATAGTTTTACACACTGATCAAATCTAACAATCCACACTTGGCTTTGTTATCTTTACCAATTAACCAACTTGACAACGCAAAAGTGATCCCAGACTGACGAACGATGATCAAGTTAGTAAACTTTATTTTGATATCATAACAGACGTACTTATTACCTTTGTTATTTGGTTTAGTGATCTTCATTTTTATTTCGACTTTCAGTATGTCCTTTTAACTTGACCTAAGTAGTCTATTTTCTCACTCCTTAACTGTTTGTTAAATATAAGCTAAGATTTTGTAAATTCCGTAATAAACGATCTGTTGCCTGGTCCTTGTCTTCTGTTGTTACAATACTACTTTGATAAAGCTATTAGCAGCAGCATTGAATAGCGAAACGTCAGTAAAAACCATAACAATATCGGTTTGCTTTTCATTCATTGGGAAATACACAAACCTTTATTATAATGAAAAGCATATCGTTAAAAGTGAACTTGGTTTGGACATGTACAACTTAATCTTATATCAAGTAACATTAAGCAACGAGGAAGGCTATGGCCATGTATACGCAACACATACGTCTGTCTGTCTGGATTCAACATAGAACTTGGCACCGAAGTGCAGCAGTTCGAGTTGCCACGTTCCAAATAGCACACAGAGGTAGACAAGAAGATGAGTGGAGAGAATTAATAGAGTTTGACAAATATAAGAGTGAAACAGAATGGGTAATGGTAGAAAGGAATATGAAAGATTACAGAGATTGAATACATCTGCGCCATTGACAACGATTTTGAGCCATGTCACCTATTGTCTCCAGCCATTGATTCCTAGAGTCCCGAGGGCCCCAACCCGGGAGTCTGCATCTCCCTACCTGACTCAGTTTAACTGTCAAGGATTTCATGGATTGATGCCATGTTTTTGTTTGGCCACCACTGGCTCTTTTCCAACCTGAACCTATATCAGCTAACAATGCCCGTCGGGGGAGGCGGTGGTTAGGCATGCGCACCACGTGACCTAGCCATCTTAGTCTATGTAACTTTATAACCTCGTCGATTGATTTTCCCTCTTTGCCCAACACTCTACGCCTAACGTCAACATTACTTATCTTGTGAAACCACCTAACGTGAGACAGAGATCGCAGACATCTATGATCGAAAGCAGTCAACCTTTTCATGTCTTCAACGCGTATTGGCCATGTTTCAGAGCCATAGAGAAGGACGGAGCGAACTGATGAGCAGTACACACGTCCCTTGGTTGATAACCGGATGTCACGCCTACGCCAGAGATGGTGTAAGTCAGCGAAAGCAGCTCGAGCTTTTCGGATCCGTGCTGAGATTTCATCGCCAATCAGTCCGTTGGTGCTAATACAACTTCCCAAGTAGGTGAAGTGGTCAACATGTTCTATCACTTCACTCCCTATCACTAAGTTAGGGGTTGACGTGGTCCAGTCCTGTAGCAGCATCTTACATTTTGCAGGGGCGAATCGCATGCCAAACATACGAAGATTGCTGCTCAAGGTGTTCAGAAGACTCTGCATTTTGTCAGCATCCTCCCCTAACAGGACTATGTCATCTGCATATTCTAAGTCCATTAGATTATTCCCTGGTAACAAGTCGATTCCTAAGTCACTACGTTCAGTTAAGGATACTTCCATTAGCATATCTATGATGAAGTTAAACAGAAATGGGGAAAGTGGACATCCCTGTCGGACACCACTGGTTGTTACTAATTCAGATGACAATTCCCCATAAGCCCTTACACGACTACGTGAGTTTGAATAGAGTGCCTTGATTAGTGCAATGTACTTTCTTGGCACTCCCTTCACAGTCAGACATTGCCATAGTACTTTTCGGTCCACGGAGTCGAAGGCCGCCTTCAAGTCAAGAAATATGACAATTGTTGGACGCCGAAAAGTGTGTCTATGTTCTAGAATCTGTCGAAGAGTGAAGATATGATCTATGCACCCTCTACCTGGTCTAAAGCCTGCTTGATTTTCCCTTGTCTGTTCCTCCCGAGTTCTGCTTAGTCTATGCATGATTACTGAGCCTAGGATTTTAGAGACTATGTTCGTTAGGCTGATCCCCCTATGATTATCACACGAGGACTTGTTTCCCTTCTTGAATATCGGTATAATGAGTGACTTACCCCAGTCTGATGGTACTGTCTCTGATTCCCAGACTTTGCCTAGTACCTCAGTTAATCTACAAACTAGTATGTCACCCCCATATTTAAACACCTCCGGAATAATTCCGTCGGGTCCTGCCGCTTTGCCTCGTTTCAAATTACTGATAGCTTTTGTAACCTCACCTACAGACGGCGGACCAGTGTCTATATCCCATTCGGGTACGTGGTGGATGGCGGGGAGGTTCAGTGTGGCTGTAGGCAAGTTAAATTGTTCCTCAAAGTGTTCTTTCCAGCGTTCAAGGCGTCTATCCTGAGAGCTAATTAAGGAGCCATTTTTCTCAGAAATAGTCTCACTTATGAATTGCCTTTTCCCGCCCGATTCTGTGATGAGTCTAAAGAGTTGCCTAGTGTTGCCTACGTCTTAGGTATTGCAATCGATATAGCTTCACAAACCAAAACAAAAGATATTCAAAACTACTAGAAAATATAAGTATGGAACTTGAAGTCAAATTGGAATAAGCAATAGTATCTCTTGAGTTCGGTTTCTTTTTTTAGCGATACACAATCTACCCTGAGACCCACAGATTTTTGCCTTGAAACAAAAACAATCTGACTAAGTCTGAGTGTATGTTTCGGCCTATTTCAGGATTCACCAACTGGATGTTGTTGTCTCTTCAAGGTGTTTTCTTTTGTCTTCCCATTGAGATTCGAGCGTCGGTGGTACAGTGTGCTCGCCAACCACTCCTCATGTGGTTCGACCCCTGACCACAGACGCACTCCTTTACCTCACTAAGGGAAAGTTGGGCACGAGGCTGGCTAGCAACTGCATAATGTAAAAAATAAACACCACTGCTACCGAAACTTCAAGCCTCTAGCTTGAAGCCTCCTATATTCCACTGGGAACGTAAAGGAAAACGCAAAAATTAAGAATCGAGCCTAATACCCATTGGTTAAGCTCCAAATATAGTCAAAATATAAAAATTTAAGAAAAGTCTGAGTAGATTTTTACACGAATTGTTATGGGGTTAATGAACTGTTAAGATGGAACCTCAGAGATTGATCATGGTGTTTATTCATCAGCTATGCTTATAATCCAGCCGCATGTTGATGTGTATGGAGGGAAAATCAATCGATGAAATTGTGAAGTTACATGAACTGAGACCATGGTTAGGGCATGTATTACGCATGCATGCCTAGCCATCGATCGCCTTCCTCGACGCGGAATGATAGCCAGTAGTAGTCAAATCAAAACATAGCTTCATCAGTCAATGAAATCCACAACAGTTAGTCTAAGCTAGTCACGTAGGAAGCTGTAGAATTTCTGACTGATTGGTTGGGGCCCTCGGTACAGTAGAAACCATTGATGGCTAGAGACATTCAGTGATAAGGCTGAAAGTCGGTCTCAATGGTTGGCGCAGATTCATCGACTCCTTGTGACTTATAATACCCAATAAAATTATATTGTTCTTCCATATTACTTATTCTTTATCCCTTATTTCTCTGTTGTCTGTCTCTATTTTGCGTTACGCAAGAATATCAGGAAACCGATTGGCAATACAAAGATTGTTTATTTCTTCACCGATAATAAACCAGAACAACAGGTTTACAAAACACAAATTTTCTGATTAAGTAACACCTGTCACTTTTGTTGTTTCCCGCCAAATGGAGATCTATTCGAATAAACAAACCATATGTTGCTTATTCAGTGTTCAACAACAACCTTGAAAAAATATTAATATTTGAATTTTACATGTGTAGAAATGTTTGACTAATATCTCTTTTCTTCTCTTCTCTTCTAATATCTATCTATGCATTCATGATATTAGATATCTGAATTACCAACGCCTTCTTTTATGCTGAAAAAGTTACGTGATTTAAATCTTGGTACAATGAAAAATGTTTGTATTGTTCAACAGAACTGTCCAGTGCATAAGGCGCTACAGCATTTTATTGATCATGGAGTTTCAGCCCTGCCTGTTGTCGACCAAGATGGACAACTAGTGGATATCTATGCAAAATTTGATGTCATTGTAAGTGTGTTGGGATAGTTTTTTTCTGTTGTTGTTGCTGGTGGTGTTGTTGTGTGGTTGTCTTCATATTTTCTTCTTTGTAGATATTGTGTTTTTACTTTTTCTTGGTTCATTACTTTGTCTGAGTGACTGATTTCAATGTGGAAGTACACTTTTCACCGGTGTGCTGCTGCCGTTCGAGTCGCCAAACTCCCTCCATGTAGCACACAAAGCAATAGATTTTGAGCCATGTCACACCAATTGTCTCCAGTCTTCATTGGTTTTCACTGTCCTGAGGACCCCAACCAGGTAGTCAGGAAGTCTACACCTTCCTGTGTAGCTGGCTGGCTTAAGCGAAGTGTTGTAGATTTTATTGACTAACGAGGCCATGTTTTGGTTTGACCACCACTGACCCGTTTTCAACTTGACCCTATGTTAGCTAACGTTGCCCGTCAAGGAAGGCGATAGCTTGGCATGCATGCGTAGTACATGTCCTGACCATCATTTCAGTCCATGTAACTTCACAGCCTCGTCTATTGATTTCTACTCTTTACCTCATTTCTGCTCTCCCTATTATACCATTTCACACTCAAGACAGCTACCTTTGATCGAAGAGAGCTAGCCAGGCTTTTCGTATTTTCCACTTTCAATGGTCAGGTCTCACTCACATTCTGCCATAAAGAAGGATGGAGTGCTGTTATAACTGTAGGGAGTTCAATGAAGACGTTTTCACCTTGCTCTGTCTGCGCCTGAACTAATCTGCCTATCTGCTTGTCGTACCTTCCGATTTAGTAAAGCACGCAAATATCAAAAGACAAAGGCTGGACTGTGACTGTGTATTGAAGTGCAACAACGATAAAGAAAGCCATGGTATTTATACATTTTACAACAATATGGACAGCTACAGCATTTGAAATAATTGACCTTAATAGCCAATAACAAAGTGTGTGAGAAATCATAATATGCCATATGTGCGACATTGACAGTCAGTAACAAAATGTGTGGGAATGATAATATACCATATATGCAAGATTAACAGTCACTACCAAAATGTGTGAGAATGATAATATACCATATATACAAGATTAACAGTAAATACCAAAATGTGTGAGAATGATAACATACCATATATGCAAAATTAAACAGTCAATACCAAAATATGTGGGATCCTATCAAGTGCACTGCTGCTGAGGAGTACACATGCCCTTTGATCGACAGTCAACTACTGGATATCATGTCTACCAAGCCAGAGATGGCGTCAGTTGGCCGCAAATGCTAAACGAGCCTTCTCTGTCGCTTCTGAGATGTCGTCAGTAATCAACCCTCTGGGGTTGGCTTGAACTTGAACACGTGCACATCTGTGCAAAGTAGTTCTATGTTGAAGCCCGTCAGTCAGTCATTCAGTCAGTCGGTGAGTTGAAATACTACTATCACTCACTGAAATCTACACCGATTTACTGGCCCATGAAACTGGATAGAGAAAGCTAAGGGTTGGTCAGCCTGTGTTATGACATAGCGCAATGGGATGGAGGATATTTTGTGTATTTTTTAGCACCTGTTGGTACATCATGACCCGCTGGGTTCATAATCGAGGGATAATTCGAATTAATGGCTTGAGACGTCGTGTGATATAGGTAACATGAAGTAATGATTCGTGTTCCAAAATAATCTTCACGAGTATACTTACTTGCCTTCTGGATAACCTCCCTGATTTATTCTCCTTCTTATTTTATTTAAATATTCTTATCTTTATTATTTGTTAGTGTAGGTGCGTCTCTCTTGGTACGCTTTAAGCCTCAACAGTGTTTTGTATGAGATTTGCATGTGATGCTCTTTCTCTTACTCCAGGATCTTCAAACAAAAGATTTTCACAGCTTCATTCCTATCAAGTATAAAAGAAATTTAGTGAAGACCCTCAGCTACAGAGTTAGAGCTATATGTTCAGAAGAAGTAATTGAAGATGAATTAAGCATTGTATATGATACGTTGAATGAAAATAGCTATCTCGATAAATTTATCAAGAAACACATGACAAAGAGAGCGGCGGAAAAGGACTACTCACTATCTGTAAATAAGAAGCCTTTATATATGCGCCTGCAATTCAGGGGCGATATACCAAGTGAGATAATTACGCAGAAATTAAGAAAATCTGTTCAAAGAACTTTGAATGCTCACGAACTATACGTCTTATTCTCTACACGATCAATGGTGCTACCTCGACTGAAAGATGAAGTACCTAGACTAGCTAGCCACTTCGAACGTTACCTACGAATTCAACTCCGCTAGTGGTAGCGCGAGTTATATGGGCCGTTGCTCTAGGAACTTGATTTTTCATGCTCGAGAACATCTCCCAGCATGGCTAAGTAAAGGTGTAGTGAAAACTATTAAGAGCTCGATATTGGAACATCTGGTGCAAACCGGCCACAAAGCTAGTCAGCATTGAGCAATCCTTCTCCATCATCTTCTGGGTACCAAATAAATTGCCATAATCATCGTGGCACCGCATGCTCCGAATAGCAGAGGCTGTCTCAATTCTTGTCAAACAACCAGTGGTCTGTGTTCAAAAGAAGCAAGTCTAACTAGCCGTTACTACTGCCCTGACCGGTCTTCAGTAGAGACTATAAATTCATGAATTTGTAACATTATCTTCCCTAATTTTTCTGATATTCAGTCTATTGTTATATTGATGCTATTGAACTGTAACCTATAAGTATTATTTTTGATTCGATGTTATTTAAACAGCAGAATTACTGTTGTTCATAACACTAATTCATTCATTCACTATAATGTATGTATAACTGTAGAGCCTGATGAAGAAGAGGTTATCGAAAAGAGTATTCTTTGTTCCGTATCCATTCTTTTGAAAATGTTAATGGGCATTTTTAATCAGTTAAAAGATTAATCGACATTATACCGCGTGTGACACATTTCTATCTGATCTGAAGTGTACATCAGCCTATCATGATGACATCTCTTCTTTGTTTCCTTCGAAAAATATACGGCGATATTTTGTTGGATGCGCCACTCATAAAACGTTCAGAAGTATATTTTGTGAAGAAAGGACACCAGTGAGGAACGGTCATCTCCTCCTATATTGGGATAAGCTGCCATCATCGTCATCTATCGTGGATAATGCTTCTTCTCATGTGTTTAGTAGAAACTGGCAAATCAGAAGGTTTTGAATGTTTCAGATACTCGTCATAGTGAACAATACTGGTAGGGGTCATATTTTTCACTAGATTTAAACAAAACGAATAAGAGAAATTATATGCAAACTATATTGATGGAGTCTGTTTTTGGTAGCCCAGGTTTTAAGCAGACTGCCATAGTAATCCCATATTAGTTTGTTTATTAGATATATCACACAGCCAGTGAAACAGCATTATCTACTGGATACTGACGTTTCGAACACAATTTATTCATTGTTCATAATCATATCAGTTGTAATCACACGACTTCGAAACTCGAGTTTTATGGTTTTCTTTATTCTCTCCTATTTGTCGTCGTTAGGGTAGTAGAATTTTCCAGATATCCAACTGGATAGGTGTTGAATCATTCCTATTAAACGTATTCTCTCTCAGTTGATTCGATAAACAGAGCTTCTGTTATTAATCTCTCCCTCCATTCACCCTGCTTTATTAGATTTTATCCCATCCTGTTGTATGTTTGAGTTTAATTACATGTAGTGAGTGGTATAGCTGAACTATTCTCCAGATTTCTTATCTTATTTAGGTTAACCAATCTATTTTTGCTAGGTTTTTATGTTCGGCTAGTCTAACTGCCCTTGTTCTACTGGTTTGACCTATTTATTTGACCTGACAATTCTTGCTTAATTCATCTGAGGAATTCACGTTTCTATTATGATTCCATATTAGTTTACTTATCAGATATATCACACCGTTAGTGAAACAGTATTAGCGTTTACTGGATGACTAGATTTCGAAGACAATTCACTTATTGTTCATAATCATTCCATCAATTATAATCACACAACTTCGAAACTTGAGCTTTATAGTTTTCTCTGTCCTGTCCTATTTGTCGTCGTTCAGGTGGTAGAATTTTCCAGATATCCAACTGGACAGGTGTTGAATCATTCCCATTACACGTATTCTCTCTCAGTTGATCCGATAAACAAAACTTCTGTTATCAATCTCTCCCTCCATTCACCCTGTTACATTAGATTTAAAAATTGTCGTCTTATCCCATCCACCCTATTGTATGGTTGTGTTGTGTGTAACTGCATGCAGTGAGTAGTATAGCTGAACTAATCTCCAGATTTCTTATCTTATTAGGGTCAACTAATCTAGATTTTGCTGCTAGGTATTTGTGTTGCTCCGTTAGTCTGACTGCATCTGTTCTACTAGTTTGACCCATGTAATTAACCTGACAATCATTGGAGGCAGGGTATTAGATGAACTGAATTTTTTTGTTTTAAAGGTTCCACAGGACTGATCCCTTAACCGAGAAGGCTTGTTTCTAACTGAGTTTGTGGGTGGTTTGAATGCCAGCCACTTTTACTCCTGCCAGCATTGTCAAGAATTCTCCGTAAGATGATTGTATGAAATAACTACTGATGATTTAGATTCCTTATTGTTGGTGTTGTCATTATCCTGTGCATGTTTGGCATGCATGTTGTCATTATTATTATTATTATTATTATTATTATTATTATCATAATTATTACTATCATTATTTTATTTTTACATTTCCCTACCTACTTTCTCACTCATTTCTACGAGTAATTATTAAGTTTCAAGGCTTCTTTTATGTGTATCACCTCTTCTCTTAGATTTCCCTTGGTTACTACTGAGTTTGTGTGCTCTATTGGCACTTAAACATTTCACCAATCCTATTTTCACTGACACATATAATAATATGGCATACTAATACATTAATATGCAACTGAAATGTTTTCACACAGAATTAACCAGCAGAACGTTCATATCTCCTTCCCAAATCTTCTTCATACTTATGATTTTATTTTTCTTTACACATTTAGAATTTGGCAGCTACAAGGACATATCAAAATTTAGACATTACAGTATATGAAGCTTTAAATTATCGACGTGGAGTAAGTCACTTAACAGATTTTTGTATTTTGTATTCTTTTTTCTTGTATTTTTGTATTCTCTTTGCTGTGCAAATATTTATCCGTGTTTACATCTACTGGGACAGTCGGTAATATGGCTCAAAATCTTTGTTCTCGGTGGTGTCTGGTACGGTTGGATTTACTTCTTGTCATTGAAAAAATATCCACCCACTCGCACTGCTGTTTATTATCTATCTCTCCCTCGCCTTTTTTAAACGCCATCTACTCTCTTCTCTTGGGTTGTGTGGTATTATGGTTCATGGGAACTGGAACTGCTGCACTTCTGTGCATAAAGTCTTTGACTCTTGATTTGAGCCACCTTGCGATCGTCAGGAGTCAATGGACCAATGACTTGAGACTGTTGGAGATTTAACCCGAAATTACTGTCTATAGGGCAAACGCAAACACTCTTTATGGTCGATTTGAGATCCATTAAACCGAGTTGTTTCTCTATGTTACACTATTCTTTCTTCTTCTTCACATTCCTGCTTTTTATCTTTCTATTGAATCTGTCTTTTATCTGCCTTCGTATGCTTCATGAAGTGTGACAACTTGAACTAGTATACTTTTATGCAACGTTCTTTTTTAAAAACCGATCAATCAATGGATTTCACTAGCAAGTCAATGTTCACTCCCTCCTGTTTTATGGCTGGCTGGCTGACTGTTGGTCAGTGAGAAAAATGGCCACTGAAAGAATGGAAGACATGGAAAGCCTGGCTAGCTAGCTAGCTGTCTTTGATCATAGGAGTCTGTATTGTATCTCCCATGTTAGACACTATACTAAAGTGAGGCATCGGTCGAGAAGCCAGGTAAGAAGGGGAAATCAATCGACAAGATTTTGTAGTTACATCGATTAAGAGAGATGGTTAGGGCATGTATTACTCATGCATCTCTAACCGTTGAACTCCCTCCTCGATGAGCAACGTTAACCAGTGGTGTAGGATGAATCAGATTGGAAAAGAGCTAGCACCTGATGGTCAAACCAAAACATGTCTTCCTCAGTCAACCAGCTCTATAACAGTTAGTTTAATCCAGGCAGCCACGTAAGTCGGTGTAGACCGCATGACAGGTTGGGGTCCTCGGGATACTAATGGCTAGAGCAGAGGGATTCAATTTTTGTGATTTGTCATATCGTTCAATAAAACTCTATTGTTCTCATTCCATATTACTCGTCTTTTTGCCTCACTCACACTTCTGTTTATTTTCTATCTCTCTTTTGATGAGTCTGTCTTTACTCTTTTCTGTTGGTTTGTGTGCTAAAAATAGAGGGAGAGAGTGGCAAGTCGAACTGTTGCATATCTGTGCAAAGTAGTTCTACGTTGAAATGAATTAGTCAGTCAGTCAGTCAGCAAGCCAATACTGGTTGATGATGTTAAGTGTTATTCAACTACTCAAATAAATCCATAAGTAGTAAGTATATTCATGTTTATTTATACTCTGTTTACCCGCATAGATAGTGTTACAATTATTTGGAATCCTATGTTCCCTGTAACATGTAGGCATTTTTTACACTCCGTATATCGTTTAACAGTGTTTATCAAGATATACCTGAGTATTTATTTCTCTCCTACACGTGTTTTAATTGATACAAATAGAGTCAAATTTCATGGAGTTTATACACCAACCACCCCTCCACACGTTCCCCACACCACCTACCATTCATCCTTTCACTATCAAAAAGAAACATGTGAAACTATCTGAGTTTTTCTGTGTACATTTTGTTTCTCAAATTGTTCTCCCTCTATCTTTCGTTGTGGAGTGTGTGTTTATGCTTCATGTTTATATATGCACATATATCCGACAGTATTTGGCTAACTGTCTATTTTGAAAGTTGAGTAATGCGAATATCATTCATGTGCATTGGCAGCGGTATAGAGTAAAATCTCAACAAAGACTGTAGTTTCTATTTTTGCCTATTTCATTCTTTCATCTTTATTTTGTCTGAGCTATAATTTTAAGTTTCCATGCAGAGTACAGAGTAGGTAGTAGTGTAATAGCAGAAGACAAGGGCCAGGAAACAGATCGTTTATTGAGAAAATCACCAGATATTTATAGATTTTTATGTACATTATTGTCAGTGGAAAAGCAACCTCTTCTGATTGGTTGTTTTCTTGCTGAAGGTTATTCTGTACTACTTATGACTGTTTCTCAGGAAGTTAGGCCACATCTCTGCGAATTGTATTTGCACACGTTAGGTGTGCTGCGATTGGTTGGTGAGTTCCTCAAGGTTAAGCTTTGCTATTGTTATTCTCATGACCCCGATTCAGGATGTAACATTGACGTAAATTGCTGTCTACAATTTTTGGTATTCAGCTAGCTCTCACCACAGTGGCAGTGTGGTTTGTGTTACTGATAAGGTTTATTAGTAGTATATGTCGACACAAATTGATAAGAAGTAGCTAAAATTGTAAAGAATATTTTAAGTCAATAGATGGCTACAGAAGTAGAGATTGTTCATTCCTCAAATCTGGATTTTAGCTTACTCTGTGGTCAGTAATTGTTCTCAATGGACAATTTTTCGTCTTCAGAAAATCAACAACCAATCAGAATAGTTTATTATCCACATTGAACTGTCTGATGTTAATTTTGGCTAAAAATGTCAATGAATACGGTGCGTTTTTCATTAATAAAAAACGGGTCCATGCACCAAGTCTTTTATGCGTTTGACATGTTTAATATCACACTAACGCGCGAAGACTTGGAGGCGTAAACCAACAAATTGGCAGAAGAAGTAGCCAGCGAAGGCAGGACTTCAGGTGAACATAGAGAAGACCGAAGTGATGCAGGTAACCAGCCAATAGCAAAAACCAGTACCACCAATCATCATCAACGGGTGAGATTTCACAGAGGTTACTTCCTTCACTGATCTTTCTGGGAAACACAGTTTCAACTACAGGCAGTCGGAACGGATGAAGATGTTAAAACCAGCCGGAATCTAAAAGTCTAGATACACCTTGATCAATGTGCAAATCCGTTTTGGAAATCGCCTGCACTCAGTCAGTATGAAGAAGGAGATTCGGATTTCTAACAGCAATGTCAGATCAGAACTGTGGCCAAAGCGTCACGAAAAGCATTTCCAACAGACTTTGATCATGAGCTGGCCATATTCGCTGGTTCCATTATTGAAGATCAAATAGCCTACCAAAAAGAATTAACAACAAGAAACTATGGGTACACACACCAACCAAGCACTTATTGTTCAACAAATGTGTAGCCGAAAATGGAGGTGGATTGGGCATACTCTAATGAGACCATCGAATGATATTACGCACCAGTCAAATCATCGCTCGAATGGAATTTCGTTGGAAAGCAATGAGTGGGTCGTCCAAGGGTAACATTGGAGGTATCCGTGTGAAGAGGAGGTGAGACATTATGGTCAATCATGAGGCTAGTCAGCTGAAGAGGACAGCAGGAGATAAAACAGAGTGAAGATGTGTGTTGTTAAAGTCCTTTATTCCACTTGGAACCTGAAGGAAAAGTTAATAAATAATAATAACTAAGTTTCTTGTCTGCTATGTATCTCTGTCCATACTTTCCTTACGCTCACACAAACACAGGGAAAAACACATGCCAACACGCATTTTACTCTTGAGCTAATTTCACGTATAGATTGATTCTCGTAATCAGAGTTGAAGTGAAGAAAGTACATATATACTGAAACACACGTAACATTCACTAGGGTAACCAATATTATTATATATATCCAAAACAAGTTCACTTTTAACGGTTTGAAAAAATTTGGGCATTGGGTATATGATATTCATTATAATAGAGGTTTGTTTTTTGTATTTCCCAATGAATGAAAAAACAAAACGAGATTGTTTTTACTGGCGTTTCGCTATTTAATGCTGCTGCTAATAGGTTTCTCAAAGTATTATTAAACCGGAATTTACAAAATCCACTCAGCATATATATATAACAAAGAGTTAGGGGGTGAGAAAAATATAGACTTTATTCAACTTAAAAGGACATATTGAAAGTCAAAATAACAATGAGGATCGTTCAAACTAAATATCAAAGGTAATAGTATATCTGTTATTATATCAAAATAAAGTTTACTAACTTGATCATCGTTCGTTAGTCTGGGGTCATTTTTGGTTGTCAAGTTCGAGAATAGGCAAAGGTAACCAAACTAAGTGTAGGCTGTGAAATACTTGATCATCATTCGTCAGTCTGGGTCGTTTTTTGTTGTCAAGTTAGCGAACTGGTAAAGATAGTAAAACCAAGTGTACATTGTTGGATTTTGTCAGTGTGTAGAATTATGAAAGTAATGTGTGTTTCATAATTCTACACACTGACAAAATCCAACAATGTACACTTGGTTTTACTATCTTTACCAGTTCGCCAAATTGACAACAAAATACGACCCAGACTGACGAATGATGATCAAGTATTTCACAGCCTACACTTAGTTTGGTTACCTTTGCCTATTCTCGAACTTGACAACCAAAAATGACCCCAGACTAACGAACGATGATCAAGTTAGTAAACTTTATTTTGATATAATAACAGATATACTATTACCTTTGATATTTAGTTTGAACGATCCTCATTGTTATTTTGACTTTCAATATGTCCTTTTAAGTTGAATAAAGTCTATATTTTTCTCACCCCCTAACTCTTTGTTATATATATATGCTGAGTGGATTTTGTAAATTCCGGTTTAATAATACTTTGAGAAACCTATTAGCAGCAGCATTAAATAGCGAAACGTCAGTAAAAACAATCTCGTTTTGTTTTTTCATTCATTGGGAAATACAAAAAACCTCTATTATAATGAATAACCAATATTATATATCTAGTCCTTGGTGTTGATTCTGACTGAATTCTTTCACGATCTTGTTTTCACCAAATTAAAATGGCTTGCTGTCAAGATGCAGCGCTCTGAATTGATGTCAGATGGTTTGAAGTCAGTTGTTAACCTGAACATCTCAGCTGTAACATTTGTGACTTCAGCGCTAGATGGGTTTGAATCCCACATC